AAGCTGATGTTCGTTCAACATTTGTACATGTCATTTGTATTTGTTGATTTTTTTTCTGTTATTAAATTCCATAAACCTTTAATACGATCAGGTAATAATGGTCCACCATCAATAGTAACCATTGAATTTGATTGAAAATTAACATTTAAATATTTTAATGTTGAATTAAGAAATGGACGTGGTGATAATAATGTTGGTGGAATTCCTGCTAATAGTCCAGTTAATGACATACACGTTCGTTGAGATTTATTTAAAAGAAAATTAAATAAACTATTTACAGAAGATAAATCTCGAATAAGAATTGTTGTTGAACGTATTTTTCCATTTAAATTTTTTTTATTTGATGATATACATCGTCTTTCATTAGTTGAATTTGTTGAAGATGTTCCTGTTAAACCCATATCTTCTAACCATTGAGCACATGTTACATCATTTTCATCACCATTTTCATCATCATCATCATCATCATTATTCTTATTTGCAGAATTATTTAATGAATCACCACCACTAAATTAAAATATTATTTTATTTTATTAAGATCTTATGAAACATGAAATATGACTCTCAAGTCAAGATGTAAATGTACTAAAAATAATCTTTTCAGTTTTGCTCATCAGTTCATTACTTTATTATATCAGTCTACATAGTTGTACTGTAATTTGAGACAACTGATAAAAAAATGAACACAACTAAATATCATTAGGAAAAATTGATTAATATCAAAATAATCTCAAATTTGATTATTCTTGAATATAATATTATTTAACTTCAATTAATAATTGCATCCCTATGAGAATAATTTAATCTATAGTGAAATAGTTATACCCTTTTATGTAGACAAATAATATCAGTTGTTAATCTTATGTTTCATTAACTTAAACTTTACCTTAACAGTAGAAAATAAATTTTTTTAATATTAATCCTTACATTTATTTTATATATATATGAGTGAATTGCAACTTTTTAGTACAATTTATGGTTCAGCTCTATTTCGCTAATAACTTCTGTTTGTCTCAACCGATTTAAACAATTCTTTTATATGTTGTACACCTTTGGTCTTCCCCCTGCCATCCAAAATTTCAGCTATCTACCT